AGGAAAAAAAAAGAAGAAACCAAAAATATAGTTAATTGTAACAACCCGTATTTTCTAATACGGTCATTCTGACAAAATGCAGAAGCGTAAACAAATAAACACTAAATTAACGGAAAAACTTCTTTATTTAATTTGATACTATGACAAAAGATAAGGACAAATCCAACTTTGAAACAAAAAGACCTACACTATAATAAAGCCAAAGAATAACTACCAAAACTAACTAAGTTCTCATAAGCTAAAAACAACGAAAATACTAAAGATTTCAACTCCTCATGCCAAAACGCTATTCCTCAATCACTATCTGTGCAGTCACTTGAACCTTCATCTGAAAACATTTAGAAAAACAAAAAAAAAGTACAAAAATACTCAATAAGCAATTTCCATATCGAATTTCGAAATTCATTTTCCTTTCAAAACATTCGTAAACAAAAAATACGAACAGATCAAAACTTATAAAGTCCTTTAAAATATTTAATACAATTTTCAAAACTTTCAAATAAACTAGATTTTCGGAAACAAAGTCTTCAAATAAGGTAAAATTTCCAGTCAATCAAAACAAACTTTCATTCTTTCAAAACAAACTTTCATTTGATCAAACTTTAAATCATTCAAAACAAATTTTCTTTCAATCAAAACTTTCAAAATTTCTTCTAAAACATTTGGTACAACTTTCAAACTTTCGAATAACTAAATCATTCAAACATTCAAAACAATCTTACATTCATTCATACTTTCAAAATCAGAGTAGAAGGTTGCATTATTTGGGTAGCCTATAGAACATATGTGGTTACCCGTCGGTAACACCAATCAATCAGAAGCTTCTATTAGAGTTGTCGAATTAATATCGACCAAAACAAAATTGCCGAAATAATATCGACCAGAACAAACAGAACGGTTAATTAAGTGCGAGACCATGTGAGAGAATAACACACACATGAATCTTCATTCCCAAGGAACACCAAACCACAAAAGTGTCTTCCCACAAATAAGCCAGAACATAAATCCATCAATTCTAAATTAGGCTACTACCCCAAATAAGCAAAACGTGGTTCTTCAAAACAAAATCATGGTATATCCGGATAGCCCTATCAAATCAATCAAAATATCTTTCAAATAAAATGCAAAACAAATACTTACTTTCAATATTAAATTAATTCAAAACATTGAAATAATTTAAAACAAACTTTATCAATCCTCCAAAACATAATTTCAAATATTTCACAAATAAACAAAATATCAATTTGAAACTTTTAAATAAATCTAAACAAAACTTTATCAAATCATATAAGAATACTTCAAATATTTTGCAAATAAACATAATATCAATTGTCAAATTAGTTTTCAAATCCATAATAAAACTTCAATTTCATATGCAAGATATCAATTTCAAATTTTCCTATCAAATCCAAAATACATTTTAGTTTTTGAAAGGATATGACAAATCACTTACAACACTTTTCGTAGGGAGGTAAATCACTTGCCTCTTTCAGAAATCCTAGAATCTAATTAACTTCTTCTTTGGTAGTTGTCAACTTAGAGGCCTAGAAACAACCAATATCCAAAATCAATCCTTAAATCCTATCCAATGATTTAAAATTTAACTAATTACTAACCAAATTTTATCTACCAAATTTTACCATTCAAAACAATTTTTTTATACAAAATAATTAGGGAAGTATGGATTTGGCACTACAAAACCAGATTTGAAAACTGGTTAAAAACCCTCTAAATTCAACAATAACAAACTTTAAAATTACAAGAATCGATATAAATCAATACGAACTAGATTTACAAAAAGTTTCTCAATAAAACAAGCTTAAAAACCTTCTAATCAATTGAAACTTCGGGGATTTTAAATATGGAAAATTTTCTGTTTTATAAAATAAAACTTCCAAGAATTTTTCATAAAACAATTAACAATTTACTGATTTTTATAGAAAAATCAGATCTGAAAACTGTATAGAAAACTTTTAAAACTTGGTAAAAACATTTAATTTGTCATGTAAAAATCATAACAACAAACTATAATTTATACGATACAATAGGTAAACTTTTTATGCAAAAAGAGTCACAAAATAGCCCAAAAACAATCTCATAAATAAAAAGATTCAAACCAAAAATTCTGAAAAAATTTTAGGGTAAAAGTCTTTAAAATCTTTTATTATGAAAACAAAGATCTCAAAATTTTTTCCAATAAACTGAATTAAAGAACTACATATCAAGAAAAATAAAACTAAAACAATGAGCAAGAAAAAAACTTACCGATCTTTGAGAGAAAATACCAAAATTATTTTTCTTTCCTTTTCTTTTTCTCTTGGAGAAAAAACTAGGTCTACCAGTTAAGAAAATAAAACCTAGGGTTTAAGGCTTTTATAACAAACCTAATGAATCCTTATTTAAAAAGGATAATAAAAAGATAAAGATTTAATAAAACTCTTTCTTTTTATTTTTTAAATTCTAAGAACAAATTATCTTTTAAAAATAATTTTTAAAAGAAAAATTTATATTTTTGAGAAAATAAAGAAAACAACTAAATAAAAATAAAAATTTAAATATATATATTTATGTGTATATCTATATATATATTTCGGTTGTTAACTTAATTGCAAAATGTTTAGATTTACTAAGAAATTTGGAAACGAGAAACGAGAATGTTACTAAACGGACACTTAGTTTCCTTTATATTTTTCGTTTTCCTCGTTCTCTTCGTGAAAAAAAAAGGCTATAACTAAAAATAATATCTACCCCTATTACACCCCGTCAACCACATGGCATCAAGGASGGCATGAGTTTGCTACGAAGAGTAAAAAAGGTTGGAGCAGATAAAAGACTTGRTAAATAAATTTGCAAATTGTTCCTTTGAGTACTACACCTATCGCACAATAATAAAGATCTTTACGAACAACTTTCTCGGTACAAAGTGATAATCAACTTTGATGTCCTCCGTTTGAGCATGAGAAATCGAGTTGCTTGCAAGATCGGAAAGGGCAAAAACATTATCACACCGTAAAATGAGGTTAATACAAATCAGCATCTATTGTTGCTAAAGACTGGTATTCGGCCTCTATTAAAGACCAAAAGAAACAGTTGTATTTCTTCGGAGACCAAAAAATAGAGTTATGGCCAAGAAGGATAACAAAATTAGTTGTAGAATGACGACAAAGCGGATCACCTTCCCAATCAACATCACAATATAAAATACCACGATCATGAGTCCCACATAAAAGTAAAAAAAAAAATATGTTTCACATCAATATAATATATGAACAACAAAAAGAGATTACACAAATTGACTAGCGCAATTAACCGAATAAGTAATGTCCACCCAAGTAAAATGTAAGATAATGCTGAAAGGAACAAACAAGCTGACTGTACAAAAGAAGCATCATGAAATAATGAAGCAATAGTAGTTAATTAATAGTGGTAGACTGGTGTGGCACAAGATTTATCCTCATTCATACCAAATTTCTCGAGTAAATTTGAAGACATTTGACTTGATAAACAAATAAGCCAGAGGAATGTTTATGTATTTCAAGACCAAGAAGTAACTCAATTTATCAATAGACTAGAGGGCCGAGACTCAGTAGATAAAGTAAGTTTTAATGTTTAAATGTATTTATTGTTAGTTCCCATCATACAATTAATATCATCCCTGCCTACAATAGAAGATATGTGAAAGAAAAATTCAACAAATCGAAAAAATATAAAGGAGTCACGATATGAGAAGCAACAAAATTCAAAATAAACAAATGAGAGGTAAACTAATCCAATGAAGCTCAAGAACTTGTTAAGAACATGCAAACTCTTACGTAAACGACAAACATGAAAAGGACATATAGTTTGTCAATGAAACCGTTTAGTTGAGCCCATGTAGACCTCCTCTTCCAAAGATACCGAGAAAAACATTCATAACATCAAGTTGTGTAAGAGACCAACTAAAGGTAGCAGCAATAGTTAGTATAATCCAAATAGTTGACTTTCCATTCCACAGGACTAAAAGTCTCGTCAAAATCATAACCTTCGACTTGATGATATCTTTCGGTCACAAAACATGCTTTATGACGAGTAATTGAACTGCTCGGATTGTAGTTTAGTATTAAAATTCCAATTACAACCACAACATTCATATCGATAGTTTTAGGAACTAATAGACCACGTGCCCTTTCTTGCAAGGCAGTAAACTCTTCGACCAAACATGTTGCATGCCACTCCAGGAAATTTGGAGGCAATAGTACAAAGAACAACATTGTTGGTCCTGGTCTTAATGAAATAGCTAATAAATTATTCAAAATTTTTGAATTTTGAAGTTAGTTTCAACTATACTCCTGTCGTTTCAAAAGTTCCACTCCTGCCATTTAAAATAAGTGATGGAATTGATACGGCAGTTAAGTTGTAAGTAACAACAAATATGACCGGTATCAATAACCACTTTTTAAGTCATGCTTGTTGTTCCTTTTTTAAAAGTTGTATCTATACCACTCGTCAACTTTCCTTACTCATCTAAAGATAAAATTATTGAGGGGCATATTTGAATCAATCTTTTTAGAATCAAAGGTAGAAGTAAAATTTTTTAAAGGATAGGGATATAATTCAACCTAACCTCATATAAAGTTTATGAACATTTCAAATAATTTAGCCTAAATGTAATTCTTATGATTTTCCACAAATATTTAATACCAAATTTAGAAAACTACAATACACTTTTAAAATATTTTACCAACTTCCTCATGTTCTTATAGATATATATGTATATGTATTTTCTTTCATGTTAACTGGTTATTTACACAAAATCCCAAAATTATAATTTGAAATGAAATCTAAAACTGAACTTGCAACTCCACAACTCATTGGGACTTTGACAAGATTGTAAACACCAAATATTATGATCTGAATCTGAAGCTCTGTCAAGTCTCAAATTATAGGTCATAAGAAAAAAACAACAAAAAGATTGTATCCAGTTGCAACTAATGATGAAGAATCATTGTTGAACGTTGATCAAACACTAAAAGATTTCTTTTACCCTAATCCTATGAGATCAAAAGAACCATATTGAGTAGAAAAGAAAAAGAAAAAAGAAAAAAGAAAACCCTGAATATCCCCATTTTTCATTTGCATATTATAACACAGAACCAATAATTACAACTTGAGTAGAGAGTTTTTATGTAATATGTGTCCTTCCAATTCAGGACCCCTTTTGATAGAAACAGATTGCTTCAATTCATCATCATCATGATCAAGATCATCAGCTCAAGTTTTTAAAGCATACATCATCTCCTTCCTGCTAACACATGATGTAAAAACAGAATTATATATCAGGCTGATAAAGTAATGGTGAAGAGTTTTCAACAAAAATCCAAGTATTATTCAAAACTGTCTCCCAAGATGATGTTAGGCCTACCGGCTCGATCGATCAGCGGAAGCTATCCGTACTTATAAGTGCGAGAGTGATGGCTGAGACGAAGAGGCCGAGGGGCGTGAAAGCGTGGCGAGACCGGTGGGCTGCATTTGCCAAGGGAACTCGTTTTGGAAGTGCACATTCTTCGCCATTGAAAAACACTTTGGTTGGGAAACCGTCGCCTCCTTTAATGTCAATGCCTCGCAGGCCCTTCTTGGTGAAAGAAATCACAGATTGCTGCTTCCCGGGAACTCGGGGGTCGGATTTGGGATTGGTTCCATTCACCTCTCCCATCAAGTATGTTAAACCAGGCAGGCCCTGGAGGAAGATGGTGTTTTTGACATTCGGTAGCCTCGTTCCGTTGAAGGAATAAACGTTTTCATAACCGCGACCGGCCTTGTTGAACTGAATTGCAGTAAACCAATCCTCAAATGGATAATCTTCCCAGTTGAAGAGTGTTATTCTTGCTGACCATCCATCGGTATAGTCGGAGTTAATATGCCAATTCAGGCTAACTCCACAGTTATCAGGACAAGGCATCCTCTTTGGAAGTGGGTAGTGTTTGATTTTAGCCCAAGCCTTTGCCTTTGCTGTCCTGTTAGCAAATGGCACCAAAAGTGCTTCTGGAGGGAGCAGCATTGCATTTGCATTTGCATTGCAAGTGCTATCAGTGTCATCTCCGCAGCCGCAGGCACAAGTATTGCAAGGGATCACAGAGTCATTATAGTATGCAGAGAATGAAACACAGCATTTTGATTGCTTCACCTTTGGCTTTGTAATGTTGCACACCACTTGCCAACTTGCGATCGCCGTACTCGTCGACTGCAGCCCGCTCGGGTCCGGAAACTCCGTCGGGGAGACTCGTCTTGGAGGTGCGCACGTGTATTTCGGGTTCAGGACACCAGAGATCTTCCATTTCTGCGGCGGATTCAGGGCGGTTCGGTTCATGTCCGGTGGAAGCTTGTAGACTTGCAGTTGGAAAATAGACCGCGCCTTGCTCTCGTCCATCAAAGTTGGCAACAAGCTCCCGTTCCTGCAGCAATATGGCAGCTTGCCGATCTTCTCGTCGTTGGCTCGGTCAGCTGGAAGATCAGCCATGATCGGTCTCTTGTCGCAGCTCATGACACCGGAGAAGTCGAAATCTTGATAGTACTGGCCGACGGGGCCGTAAATGCACTGGGAAATGTCTCTTGTGTGAGTGTAGGCTCCCCTCATGCTTTGGATGAACTCTCCTCGCATCCATTCCCATGTCAAGTTCCAGTGATCAAGGCGGCCCAGGGGATTGTTGTTGTCGATGGTGACTTGAGCTTGGTAGTTGTTTCCGTAAGCTTGCAGCACATCATAAGTCAGAGACAGGTCTCCATTTTGGCGCTCCAAGAACTTGGTTTTCTTCGCTGGTTTCGCCTTCAACTTTGGATCCTTTTTGCAGCATACGTGCATTTGTCTTGTACCTACATTTCATTTACAATCATAAAATCTCAATTTTCATCCTATGATATCTACACATAACAACTATCATGAATTTTATCCCACGCTCGTAAATACTACACAAACATTCTAAATAAGTAAATACTTGCTCCTCAACTATAAAGTAAATACTTGCTCCTCAACTATAAGGAACAATCTGGTTCGCGTCACCATTCAAACATTGGCAACTCATTATTGGAAAAAAAATCTTTATTTCTACATTTCTCTCTAAGTTATCAAACATTTAATAGTAGGGTGGATAAAATTGTTCTTTATCATTAAGGAGCCAAATATTTCTTTCTAAACATTATACACCCAAGTGATCAAAATATGCAATTATGTAAATTCTATCAACAATTTTTCATATTCATCTTTATAAAGATTGTATTACAAAACTCTCATTTTCCCAAAATGCACTCTCGACCTAATTCAAAAAATTAAACCTTTGTTTAGTTAGTGACTTCAAAACAAGAGATTTAATAAAAAAAAATGGTCAATTCTATATTTTCAGTATTTTTCGTATACGTGTTAAAAAGTGTATTTAATAAAATATTTATAAACCGGTGGAGTTACGAACTAAATATTAACTTCAATCTAAAATATTATTAATTGATTTATTAAACATTGAAGAGAAACATGTTGAAAGGAAAACAACAAAATGTACCTAAGCTAATCTAAATTGATAAGTCATATATTGTTCAGATCCCAATCTAAGATAAGTTGAAGTAAAACAAATTGAAAAAATTAAGACACTACTAACATTTATTTGTACAAGATCTATGTGATTCTAACCTATGTAAATAGTTAAGACATCTAATATCACAAAAATAAATAAAAAAAACTTACCCCGGCGACGAGGAGCAGGGCACTTATAACCGTCGTTAACAAGGCGAATTGTCTTGGGCATCGGAACTGCGGGCGGCTTGAGGCCGAACTGAGTTCCGGTGAACTCGATCTTGGCCTGGATCTGGTCCATGTCACCGGCGGTTTCAATGGAGGTCTTAAGATCGGTCATCGAATTTCCGGCCAAAGTGGTTCCATTGCTGACGTCCACCGGGAAATCTCCGTCCAACACAACCGCCCCGTCCGCCGCCACGAGGATCTCCCGGTGGTGGAATCCGACGAACATCTGCCAGCCCTTCAGCTCCGTCGTCCCGGCGTTCAGAATCAGCGCCTCCGACTTGAACGCCCACGCCTGCGCCGTCACGTTCTTCACCTTCGGCAGCTCCTTCTCTCTCGAAATGAACGTGTACGACAGGAATATTCCGTTGCAGCTGTCCTGCTCCGGTGGAGGCGCCGCCTTCTTCGGCTTGGCGTCGTCGCCATCGTCGCCTCCGCCTCCGAGGGTGGCGGCTCCGTCACCGATTATGTAGTCTTGCCCGGAACAGAGCTCAATTGGCGAGAAGACAAGGAGGGAAATGAGGACGGTGACGGAGATGAAATCCTTGGGACAGAGCATTTGCAATTTCATGCCTGAAAAGATCGGCATCACAAGAGGAAAAATGCAGAGAGGAAATAATTAAATTGGATTGTTGTTGAAGGGGAAGAGATGAAGGAGCGGCGCCGCGCGAGGACGCGGCGGAGGAGGGGGAGTTGGGGGGGCTTTGGGGAAACCCGATATAGTTATAAAAGAGGAAGAAGACAGAGTCAGGTGAATTCTGTTCCGCTAGTTTTACCGCCATTTTCGCCCGGAGAGCTTGGGAAGTTTCCTTGGCTCTGTTTTTTCTCAATCTCATTCTCAACATTCAATTTCAACTTCTTTTTTTCATGCCTTCCTAAACAATAATTAGTTACTTCATTAATTAATTAATATTGTCTTTTTAAGGTTCTTTTATCTTTTGGGTCCTTCAAAATTGGATAATAGATTCATTTGGTTGATGGGTTTCAAAAGCATTTTAGATTTGTTGGAAATTTCTACCTTCAATCTTTTTGTCCAAAATATATATTGGGTAGGTTCAAGTTACTCTATATTTTAGTTTCTAATGTTAGCTTTCATTATCGTTACTATTGGAGGTGATTTCTCGACGTCATGTGTCTACAAATTATAGATCTAAAAGTGTTAAGTCATTATAATGACACAACCTGATGGCCAAACTTTTCAAAGGAGAATAAATTGCTCGGTCATTTTCCTTGGCCAAGCTCATGTATATTTTATTGGTTGTCCGAAACTTTATAAAGGCCGAGCTGAACAAATGGAGATCTCAATGGTCAATCCTCATAAGGGACGAGTTGAGGATCACAAGATTGCATGTCACTGTCTTTAATCGCTTTTCTGACAACACCACAATTTTCGGGATGGTTGTAACCACTCCTTAAGCGATGCTGGAAACCTAAAGTGTGACGTCCGAGAGAAGAGAGGAGAGGTAGATGGATGAACCGGTACCACATCCAAATGGGAGGGATCTTGAAATCGAGAAAGTATGGTTAAGAAAGACCTAAATGAATTGATAGTTACTACATATACTAACAAGCTGTATCTTCCTTTTTGGTTGTTCGATCATAAAAACTCCAAAGTTATGCATGTTTGGCTTGAAGCAGTGTGCTACCTTGCTACCGACGGGTTGCCCGTAAATGTGTAGAGAGAGAGAGGACCAACTGGTAAATGTACCTAGAGATAATGGGCACAGAGAGAGTTGTAACCCTCGGTTTTTTGGTTAGAATCAAACTATTTCAATTAATATCAAATTCGAATCAATTCGGTTGGGGTTTTTAGTTTAGTTTTTCATTCCTTGTACCCCTAGTTAGAACAAAGGTTAGTACTTGAACTTTTAAAATTATATCTAATAGGTCCGTGAACTTTCAAGTTTGTGTATAATAAGTCGTCGAATTTTCAAGAACTCTTTTGATAACGATTTCTATTTTCTATTTTTTGTTTTTTGTTTTTATAAAACAAAAACTATATATGTCTGGTAACCAATTTTTGTTTTTTGCTTTTAAAGGCTTCGTAACCACACGCACGAGTGCACACACAACACACACACTAGTAACTATCTGGAGACGAGAATCATTATGGGAAAAATTAGGATTTAAAATAATCTAATTTTAAAAATAAATAACAAAAAATACTAAGAAAATAAATATAAAAGTAAATTAGGATTTCAAAACTATTGACAAAAATAGGTTAGGTCAAAGTGGAAGTAAAAAATCGCGTACATCGGCTGCGACTTTCGTGCAAATGTGTAATTTTGACGTGGCACACATGGGTTGTGAGAATGTATGCGATTTCCGCCTATATGGAAGTCACATGCATTGCATTCGACTTCGATCGGCTTCCTCCTTTTTTATATATTTTTATTTCAATTTTTTTATATTGTTATTTTATTAATATTTTGAAATTTAATTAAGATGAGATTAAATTTTTTATTTTTTGTTATTATATTTAAAGTTTTGATTAAAATGTGATTAAAGTCTATAAGTTTAAAATTATATTAAAACCAATTCAATGAATTATAAACTTGTGTTTTCGTGTTTTTACATTATAAAGTAAACGTTTGTCAAATATAAATTTTTATAATTGTTAAACATTCGATACAAAAAGTTGTTATAAACTTTTAAACATATTACAAAACATAGATAATCATGTATCATATTGTCGTGGCCTTCTTACACGACGTCCACGACGAGGTTCTTACTGAACAGGTGATGAGTCAGGTTGATGAGCTAAACTAGATGCAGTGTCTAAATGAACTGTTGGCGTAGGAATCATTAGAAAATGCAATTGTATAAGAGTATTCGTCTCCTATAACATCTTCATTTTGTTCTTGAACATGTTCAGCTTCTTGTGCTTCATCTTGAACTTCTTCATTTGGTTGTGTTTGGTTGCGCCTACAAGGAGGATGCCTCATTTCAAAGTTTGAAACAACTCTTGGATAAACTGAATTTGATTCAGTTACGGGAATGCAAGTATCACACATTGATTTTAATACAGGTAAATTTTCTTGTAGTGCATAGTCTTGTACGTTTCTAACAAAAAAATCATGTAATTTATATAATAACTATTAATATTTAATTTGATTTAAATATTGTAATTAAAAAATATAAGAAATGTAATACTAACTATGTAACCGTGATAAACATATTCACGTGTGATATACTTTCTGTTTATGCAAAGATGTGCACAACAGTGTGTTCCTGAGTGTAGCTCGAACTCGGCCTCCGTACCGACCTGAACCTTTGAGCGGACCTGCACAGAAAGGTGAGCACTCCGACGATCAAGTCAGTATAGGTCGGATTCCAAGTTTAGTTCGAGGCCAGAAATCATCGTACCTGATCGTGGAGTGAGGTCCTTTATTTATGGGTGGTAGTCCCGCCAATCTCGCGACGGTTACACCCGGTAATCTCGGGACCGTCGGTTACGCCCGGTGATCTCGGGACCAACGGTTACGTCCGGTAATCACGTCGCAGACAGTTGCTCACATCGGCCCCTACCGAGCCTCTGGGCAGGTCGGACCTGAGCCAGGTTCACCTCGGCCCTCATACTTAGCTTTCGCCGGCGTTGGTGGCAGCCATCTCGGCTATCCGAGCTAGGCATGACTCATGGGCCATCTTGGAGCACCAATAGGGGTCCTCCACGTGTCCAGGGTACTTAATCCCCAAACACTTTCTTTATCATATCACTCTTGATAATCATTTGGCATGGCCGACATATCTGTCGCATCACTAAATGCACACCAATCACAACGTTGACGCCATAGTGATATATATGTTGCATGTTGACGTTGTCAATTGTGATCATGTTTTCCTCGTAGGTCGATCTGATGTAGACTCGTGTCAGTATTACAGTATGATGGTTTATTCTGTAGAAGCCCAAATTGTCGCAACACTCGATTTGGTAGATGTCACTCGATAATATGAAAACATATAAGAGGGCTTGAAGTCAACCAAATGTCTCGCCCATTATGACAATATTAAGGTAATTGAGTCATAATGTCGTGATTGTACGGTGTCCAAATAATCTGAAATAATTAATAAGTAAGTATTAGTATTATTATTAAGTTGATTATAAGTATTTATTTGTAAGTAATATATTCACTTATACCTCGTTGGGCTTAAGTCGATCAAAGCATGTTCAATATTGAATCAACATGTTAGTAGATTGTTCAAAAGCTATCAAAACTTCATTCCATCTGCATTACGTAAAATGTATTCAGTTACATATACTTTAAAAATCAAATATAGATAAATGAAAATGAATGTACCGTGCATTGAGAAGACGTCTAGCATATTGTTCAGGAGTGAGTATATGGTGTTGTGGAGCAATTGTAGGAAACCTATCACACGCCCACACTTGTAAAAGTATCAATAGACCTACTATATTCATGGCATCGACTCGACTAGCTAGCCCGACAAAGTTCTCGATATAACCATGCGAGGCATGCACTACCCCATGAATATCGTCCAGCTACCTCAAAATCTGTCAGTAACTGAAGGAACATGAGATGAACTAATGTGTTAGATTTATCATGAAATAAAAATCCACCAATAGTTGCATAATATATACTCGTGCATATCTCTGTATCGTAACCTCATCAGCATCTAGTGGTAATTCAATGAATTGTGCTGCTAGCCAAGGAATACTCAACCTAGAGCCCTTTTAAGTTGGGGAGGTCGTACTCCCTGTAAGTCCTCACATATTGTGCCCAATCGTATTGCAAGGATCCTGTAATGGGCTCTCCATCAATAGGTAGTTCTAACTGTACAGCAACATCTTGTAATGTAATAGTACGCTCTCCAACAGGCATATGAAATGAGTGAGTTTCTTACCTCCATCGCTCAACCAGTGCAGTAATAAGATGTCAATCTAATTGAGTAAACCCTATCTGTGAAACTCTCCAAAATCCAGACTGTTGTAGATATGACATTATACGATTATCTAGTCTAATGTTATGAGATACTACGACCTCTCTTCTTCGACATTGCAAAACTATGGTAGATCAATTATCTCACACTAATTGTGAACGATATGATCGTTGTAAGTATAACTGATGCGAATCAAAAGGTCCTGGTTCCATAATTAATGTTGGAATATAATAAGATAAATAGCATAATTATAATCAAAGTTCATTTCAAATAACAGGGCATAAAGTATAGTACATTACAATCTCAAATATAAAACTAATACAAAGTAACAAATAATTCAATAAAGCGTAGTGTATTACAAAGCAACAATCAGAATATATGATAAAATATAGGCTATTACAAAGCAACAATTGATTCATAACATTGATAACGATATGACCACATATGCTTCGACCTGTACATAGAAAATATAGAATCGATTTTAATATTAATAGATCTGTAACAATATGTTAAAAAATTAATTAAAAAAATCCGCCTTAATCATCCATTTGTCTAGAAGACGAAGCGCCATAATTGCAAGTTGGACATGTACGTTTGTTACGTCCTTTCTTGCATATTCCACAATGAACTTTCGTACCCACCTCTCGCCAATCTATCTCATTGTTTAATGCGGAAAGTTTTTAGACGTCCATGTTCTCTCAACAAATTTGGGTTCAAATAAATAACATCAAACTTGACTTTCGGCCAATAGTCCCTATGTTGTATAGGGTAGAAGCAAGATGCATAA